AATGATAACATTCTCACTTTTTCTTCAAGAAACCGAGGAACTGTTTTCTATACAATTAATTTTTTTCATTAAACAAAATACTAGGTTTTGACTAACATAGTTACATTTTAACTTCATTGTGTTCAGGGATAATTTATGTCAAGAATAGGTGCCTATTCACCTATCATGGTACACCTAGTGAGAACCTCCACAGTCAATCCATACACCTTTGTCATTAGCACTGTCACATTATTATGGATGACTTGTCAACTGGAATCCATAATTAATATCTGGGCAAGTCTGGCAAGTCAATTGATACACAGCTGGAAGAGTGGAATGGATTCAAATAGAATGAAAATTCCTGGATTCTGCAAATGCTATTGCAAAGAAGGTCTGATATGGTCCGGTCCTCATACTGAAAATACATTTTTTAAAACAAAAAATCACTGTAGTGTGATCAGTATGAGCTGTATCCACTCACCCCCTTTTCACTGTATGTGGCACTGAGCTAACGGAAAACAAAGTATCTGTATATTTCTGAGTTTAGGATCCTGTTTTGATCATGGATGTTGATGACAAGTGAAGCCCCATTAAGTACTTTGCACAACATGGGGGAGGTGGATTTATCTGATTGGGGGAGTTTGTTTAGTTGCAAACATCACCATGTCTACTGAGTTAAATGAGATCCATCTGGATTAATGAGGAATTTTAGAATGTGACATGCTTATCTCACTCCCCATTATCATGATGATAGCATATTGTGCAAACAGAAACATTCTGTATCAAATTAATAGGTATCTGTGGAAATTTGGATATGCAGAGAAGACATGCTGTTGTATTTCTGGCTTTGGAGAAAGGCACACTTACTACAGCTGAATTGTTTGGCTTCAGATTGAGTTTTAGCCAGATGTGAGCGGAGCTTTTGTGGAAACAGCTGTCAACAAGCCATTATAGAAAATAAAAACTGCTGTTTAGTTCAATACTACCACTTAGATGCCAATGATTGTTCAGCAATCTGGAGATGAATGAGTTAACAAAGACTTCATAGTGGTCATGTCAGATATTTCTCAGTACAAGATGATGCTGAATGATACTCATGACAAAAGGCCAAATAGGCACAGCTGGAAATAGAAGACATACAGTAAAAATGAACTACATTGAGAGCTTTTTGTTTAGTCAGCAAATGTAAGAAGTAATTTATCATAAACACACAATATATACAACTCAGGATGGCAACTAGTTATCTCAGCAAGCCCTGAAAGATATGCTGCAATCTACAGAGTTTTTGAGGACATGAAGAAAGATGTTTTTATGCTACAGAACTCCTATGAAAGAGATGCTGTTATTTCAAAGGGATGAAATGGTAAATTGTAAAGATGTGGTACTGTGTTTGTTTTCATTAGTCTGTACTTTAGAGTAAATCAATGGAAGGGACTTTGAAGATTATGTAGTTCAATCACCTGCCCAATGGAGAAATCTTCCATCACAGCATCCCCACGTTTCACTGCTCCTTGCTCTCTCTCTCTCTTTCTCTCTCTCTCTCTCTCTTACACAAACACACACACACACACACAAACACAGAGTCATGTCTTTCTCCAGTCTTCTCTTGAAGGCAAACATACTCAATGCCTTAAGAATTCCTCAGATTTGTGTTTATTAGGTCCCTTATCATGACTTTTCTTATCACTCCAGTTTTCAATTTCTTAAAATGCTGTTTTATCTTTTATCTTTTCTTTTTAGAAAAATACTTTTTTAAACTAATTTTTTTGTTTGAAAATTCCTAATAAAAATATCTTTGGTTTCAATTCAATTTTAACTTTTGTAATTTCTTCTAGCCATTTCTAATTTTCCACCAATTTTTTTTGCTTTGGGGAAGGTCCACCACACATGGTAGTAGGTTCCCTGCTCATAGCCACATTTTCAACAGCTTGCTGAATTATTGGGAAACATTTTTGCAAGTCTTGCTGGCGGTTAAGTGCAAACGATAAAACATTTTATATAAATTTTCCTTATAAGTTGCTGATAGAGTTAATTTAGGTCTTCCCAATCCAAATTAATATTATATCCAAAGTTTTTGGCCCAGGTTATTGTTTCCTTCAGTTTCTTCTTCCAATTTATACCTTAACAAATACTTGTACATTTTGGTAATCATTTTTCTCTCTGGCTCCTGTAAAATTTTATCCAATTCTTGTTGGTCCAAATATATACCATACTGCTCTATGTCTTTCCTATATCTAGTACCTGTAAGTATGGCCACCAACCTACTTGTATTCTTTGCGACACAAGCTCCTGCTTAGATTTTAATTTCTCTTGTTCATCTAGTAGTTCTTTATAGCTCACTGTCTTATTCAGATCTAAAACATTCAGGTACACCACAGCTTTCATGGTTGACATCCAGATTGAGATCTTTCTATAATGGTTTCATTTTAGTTTTTCCCAAATCCCTAGTAATGTATCTCTAATTTGATGTCTTTGAAAGTACGAATAAAATTTATTTTTCCCTTCCCATATGAATGCGGGCCAGCCAATCTGCAGGTCATGTGCTTCTAGTTAACATGCTTTCATTCTTTAGATTTACCCAATCTTTAATCCATGTTGTTATTGCGGCATGATAATAGAGTTCCCAATCTGGAAGTCTGAACCCTCCCTTGTCTTTACTATCTTGTAGGAGCTTTAGTTTTATCCGGGCCTTTTTTCCTTGCAAATAAACTTTTTAATTGCTTTGTTTAGTTCTTCAAAGAAGGTTTTGCCTAATTTTATTGGAATTGTTTGAAAGAGAAATAATACCTTAGGTAGAATTTTCATCTTAATAGTAGCAATTCTCCCTATTGGTGATATCTGAAGCTTCCCCCAATTTTCCAAATCTTTTTGTATTTGTTTTAGTAATTTTTTGTAATTATGTTTTTATCGATGAACATTTAGCTGTCAGCCACACCCCGAGCTATTTCCTTTTATTTTTTGATTATTTCTAATCTGTGTTAATAGTACCTCTGCTGCAATGATAAATAGTAGTGGCAATAGCGGGCACCCATCTTACTCCTTTTGATATATTAAGTTTCTCCGTTAGTTCGCTGTTCAAAATTATCTTCACTGTTTGAGTGATTTATATGGCTTTGATCATATCTAAAAAAAATTATCCAAAGTTCATTAGATGTAATTAAAAAATTCCAGTTCAAATTGTCAAAGGCTTTTTGTGCATCCATAAACATTAATACCAATTGTTTGTCTGGGTGTGCCTCATAATACTCTAATACATTCATTATCCATCTGGTGTTATTTCTTAGATGTCTCTGTGGTAGGAATCCATTTTGGTTGGGGTGGATATATTCATGCAAAATTTTCTTAACCTTCTCTGCGATTATTGTAACAAATATTTTGTAATCCACATTAAGTAATGAAATCAGTCTGTAGTTTTGTATCTATTGGTCATTGGTATTCTTTTTTAAAATATGGGTAATATAGGCTTCTGTCCATGAATTTGGGAGTTTTGCTTGTTCTAATGTTTCATTGTACAGATCCAACATTAGCTGTTCCAATGGTGTTTGAATTTCCTTATATAATTCTGCAGGGATCCCAACTGGTCCCGGTGATTTATTACATGTTTGTTTACTAATTGCCTCTTTCATTTCAGTCATTGTGATTTCAGCATTTAACATTTCCTTTGTGAGATCTTGGATTGTAGGTAAATTTTTCTCATTCAAATATTGTTTGATCCATCTTGAGTGTACAGTGCTGCAAAATATTTATTGACAATGGTTTATTTTTCTTCTGTCTTATCTTTTCTAAGTATGGTATTGTAAGTGCAGGACAAGATTCATCTTGATCTTTACAGTATAGTTCCTAAGATTGCATTTGTTTTTATAGCTATATAACATTGTTGACATGCTCAGCATGTGATCCAAGACATCCAAATCCTTTTTGATTTTTTGAATGTATTCTATACCCTTGCTCACCATCCTATACCCTTGCCCCTCAGATTTTTCCTAATTAGGAATAAGGACTTTTGTCCATGTTGAAATTGGGTGGTTTTGCTCAGTGTCCCAGCTTGTCAAAATTATCCTGAATCTTGATTGTCTTTTTATCATATGAATTTTGACAATCGTATTCTGTAATTTCGCACTGAAATGTTGAGCAGCTTGCAAAACCAGCCTTTTCCAAGAAGAAAATCCGTAATCTTCTAAAAGTGGGTTAATGCAAGAGACAACCAATAATGAGAAAATGCATTTTTCAGACCAAGGGCAGAGCTTTTCCTTTCTTTTCTCCAAGGCTAAACTCAAAACTATATATATGCTTGAAGCTAGGTTAGCTAACCTAGGGTTGACCAATGGTTTTACCAATTTCTGAAGAAAAAACCTGGGTCACTGGCTCTGGTTTCTTGACACCCCATAGCCCATTTTCTTTGGCTGGCCAAGAAGAATCTGGCACTCTCTAGTCTAGACTGAACGCTGCGCCCTCCAGAGGCGTAACTTCGGAAGCAAGAAGAATTTTCCATGGTCCTTATTTAGGCTTGGAAAGTGTCGGAGATTTCTAAAAGTACCAAACCTCCACTTTTTGCGTTGCTGCAGTACAGCGAAGATGTCCAAGCCACGAGTAAAAGCAGCGATGCTTACACTGCTTTTCTTTCTCAGCGTTTAGGAGACACAGCTTCAGAAATCCAATCGGCCTCCCTTTAGGCGGGCGCCTTCGGACAAGGACGCGTGCCTAAAGCGGACCCGCACAATTTCCGCGCGCTTCGAAAGGAAACAGACCGGCTGAGCTTCCTTCCAACGGAGCGTCTATTTCCCCTCCCGCCTCCCCTTCCTCATGAATATTCACGCCTCTCCTCCCAGTGACGTTGCAGCAGTCCCGCGGTGAAAGCTGGAGAGCTGCTCCGGTCCTGGCAGTACAGCCTGCGAATGACTGAGCAGCAGCGGCGGTAGCCGCAGTAGTAGCAGTAATCATAATAATTGCAGACGCCGCCACGGCTCTTCTGGCTCTTGGCTCTTTCCGCTGTCTCCAGCCTCGAACGGGTTAAGGGAGCGCATCTCCGAGCCGCTTCTGAAGGACGGCTGCTGTTGCTGCTGCAGAAATAGTCCCCCGAAAATAAGGCACGTTCTTGTTGCTCGGGGAGCGCGGAGAGGATGAAACAATGCCGAGAGTGGGCGCTGCTCTTTTTGGGGGTCGCCAGCCTCCTCGCAACCAAAGGTTGGTGAAGTTTTTTTGTTTTTTTGTTTAAAGGGGAAACGCAGGGGAAGCTACGCAGGTGTAAGGGGCGCCGCCTCGTTTGCATTTGCGCGAGAGCCGCGGGGACAACTCTTCCAGTCACTAAAGGCGGCGACGCCGGGGGCGGGTGGTGGGGAGAGTTGTTATGTCTGCCTGCCTTGGGCGTTCTCGCTGCTGTATAATGTCGCACGGTCGTAGGGTTTTTAACCAGGCGAGCTAGTTTTGGGGGTCTCCCCCCCCCCCCAAAAAAAAATTGTTTTGAAGGAGTCTTCTGCGCGCTCTTTGGAACTGGGAAAAAGATTTCTGGCTTTTCGTTCCTACTGTGGGCGATGGAGGAGCTTTTCAGGTCGGGGAGAGAAAAGGGGAAAAGGGACTTCTTCGACCTGCCTCAGTCCTGGAGGTTTTGGGAGCCCCTGAAAGTTTGAGGTGTCGTGAGGGAGGCGGGTGGAGTTTTAGAGGTGAATTAGGTGTGCGTGCTGCACTGCCGCGCTTGGGTCGCTATTTAGCGCCTGGGAAGATTAAGCATCTGGAAGGCGACTCATCTTCGAGCCCCATGCATCGAAGGATGCTTGCTTCTTGTTTCAACCGATGACTTGGCTTCCCGTGGTTGTGCATTTGCGTCCTGAGAAGATTGAAGACAACAATTAAACTAGGAGTAAAATGGTTGTTTGCCTTGTATACCGAATGCCGTATTGGCTGGATAATATTACAAGCCCTGTGGCTTTTTCCGAAAGGAAGACCTGAAGATTTTTACTTAAATATATAACTTGTTGCATAGGCGAAGTTTAAAATATTTCTTGGTGTTTGTTTAAATTTTCTAGCAAATAAATGCATTTATTTATTTGCAGGGATTGTTCAGCTTGGTACTTCATTGTTTCTAATTCACGGTAAAGCCCCTTGAGATATTTTGTGGAAGTTTTGATACCTCTTCCTTTTAAAAAAGCCATTTTTCCAAATGTATTGGATTGAGAAAAGAGTCCTAGTTTCTGCAGCATAAAGCTCTTTGGATAATCCCTAGATACTTCTTGTATTCCCTATATGATGAAATATGTATTCCCTTTATGATGATGACGCTATTCATAGATTTTATTTGGATGTTGTACATTAATGTTTTCTGCTTTTAATACTACCAAATTTGCTTTGGAGAATTACAAATCATCTTGAAGTCTGTGAACTGCTTTGATTCATAGCTGTTATTTGACAGCATTTTCTCTAGTTTTCTTGCATTTTTGCTATGAAGTACAGGTTGTCCTCAATTTACAACCACAATTGATCCTAAAATTTCTATGTTAAGTGAGATGGTTGTTAATGTGAATTTTGCTCCATTTTACAACCTTTCTTGCCAAAGTTTTAGCTGAATCACTGCAGTTAAGTTAGTAACCCGGTTTGTTAAATGAATCTGTTTTCCCCGTTGACTTTGCTTGTCAGAAGATCACAATAGGTGATCGCATGAACCTGAGATACTATAACCATCATAAATATGAATCAGTGGACAAGCGTCTGAATTTTGATCATGGGGACACTGCATGGTTGTGAGTGTAAAAAACTCTCAACTCATTTTTTTTCAGTGCCATTGTAACTTTGAACAGTCACTTAATGAACTGTTGCAAATCGAAGACTACCCGTAACTGCTGAGTTACATCAACTGTTCTGAGATAAACAAAAATAGAAAAAGCACAATTGATTTGAAGATATTTTCTTGTGTGAAATAAATTGTTGGGTTTTGAAAAACAAAGTTTATATGCATCTAGAGGTTACATTTGCAAAAAACTAAAAGTTTTGCAGACTAAAAAACCAAAATATTTAATATTAAAACAAATATTTCAGTCGGTCTTATTTACTATTAGTCAAACTTTATGTAATTTGTACGAAGTTTGAGCTGAGCATAAACAACGCTTGTGGTGGGGATATGTTGAAATATACTAATTACCAGGTATTTATTGCTCTTCATTAAAACAAATCCCATTCCATTGAGTTTCTGTGGCAAATTCTTGAGTTTAGTTTGTAGGCATTTGAAAAGTGTTACAACAATTTAACCCCTAGTACATCTGAATTGTATCAAGAATTCCAAATTCTGCTTTACCACAGGGGGGCTGCAGAGTGCAACTTCTGACTTCAACAATTTTACATTCAATATTTGATATAAAAAGGTTTTTTAGAAAAAAAACCCTATAAAAATAGGAAATTCAATTAAGTTTTAAAATCCTTTTTGATATTGGTTATTTTAATACAAGGTTCTGCACTAGCATAATCTCTATCTTCTGTTGCTTTTGTTGTATTTGTATATAGTTGAAAAGTGAGTGATTTTGTATTAGGATGCATTATTTTACAAGGAAATGGTTTAATGTAAAAGAAGACATCATACATCCTTAGATGAACATCAAATAGGCATTATACTTCAGCTTCTTAGTAATTCTTCTGAAATAAGATCTATGAGTAGTGAGTTGCAGTGAACTAGAAAGCCTTAAAACTATAATCCCAAACTCCGTGGCTGTTTCACATTATTTAGAAAAGAAATAAAAGTGAAAGGAATGTCTTCAACATTCTGACAGTGAATTTCAGGAATTGCTGCACCAATATAAAATACCATGATAAGCACATATGATATGCCAAATCTGAGGCTACCTATTTTTTTAAAAATAAAACTGTATACATTGATAAAATAATGCTATTATACGCAAAGATTTATAATCAAGGTAGCAATTAAGTTGTAATATATCTACTTCAGTCACCTGGTTTTTCTTTAGATCTCATTAATCTTTTTGCCTTTTATTTTAATATAATATGTCCTTTAAGTTGAATATGTTTCATGTTCTGTAGTAGGACACTGCAGAGTTTTAGATTTGAAAGCTTAAATATGATATGGGACATGCATACAGCTATTGTTGGGAATGTGTTAAAGAAACTACTGATACATCTTTTCCTGGGTTTATGTGCTACATTGTGCAGCTGATGTTCAGTCCTGAAAAGAGATGCATTTGGTTTAATTTACTCCCATCAGATGTTATGCACATGCCTGTATGTGCTTCATATCACATTTTATCATTTGAATCTAATCTTTTCCTGTAATGTTAGAAATATAGGAAATGCCACTTAGGGGAATTAAGTTTAGTAGGTATCTTCGTTTTGAGAAAATCTACAGTATCAATGCTGCAAAACATCTACTGTAATTTTACTATTTATTTTAAAAGATTGTTCATAAGTTCTAATACATTGTAAATTAATATATAAATTTAAGATCTTGAGTAATGGGATAAATATTCCAATCAGTACAATACAATTAGCTAGAAGATGTCTGTGTTCTGCTCCTCCATTTTCTTATGTCCCATAATTTATATGCAAAACATTATTGACATTAGAATGACTGAAATGTGCAGTTGAGATTCTCTAAAATTATGATTGATGTTGCTAACAGTTACATTTGATGATAGTGAGAAATAGAATATTAAAATAATAACAGATATTGGTAGTGTAATCAATAATATATTTACAACATTAGTTAAGGAATATTTCAAATAATTTAATTAGGTTAATAGACACAATTGGTACCATCAATGAACAAAGTTTGCAAACAGTTTTATATAGTGTTCATTTAAAAAATAATAATCTTAAGAAAGCAATGCTTAACCAGTTTGGCTGGTTTGAGAGAGGATTTTTAACATGACTTATAAATCTAATGAATAATCTTGTTAATAAAGTATTCAGAAAGTGATTATAGTCCTTTATCTGGCTTCTTTTCTATTTTTTGTTACTTGGTATTGCACTGTAATCAAACAATACATTGTCTTATGCCAGTGTGATTGTAGTCCTTGACATAAAACCCCAATGAACAAAGTTTGCAAACAGTTTTATACAGTATTCATTAAAAAAAAAACTTAAGAAAGCAACGCTCGATGAGTTTGGCTCTTTTGTGAGGTGATTTTTAACATGATTTGTAAATCCATTGAATATCAGAACTGAACACTAAATAATCTTGCTAATATATAGGGAGCAATTATAGCTCTTTATATCGCTTCCTCTCTATTTTTTGTTACTTGGTATTGCACTGTAATCAAACAATATATTATCTTATGCCACTGTAATTGTAGTCCTTGACATAGAACCACAACTGAGACCAGAATTTCTGTTGCTAAGCAAAGTATTAAATGAGTCATGCCTATTTTTACAACCTTTTTTTTTGTCCAGTTAAGTGAATCACTACAGTTGTTAAGTGAATGACATGAACAGTAAGTGAATCCAGTTTTGCCCATTAACTTTTCTTTCCGGAAGCTGGCTGGGGTAGAGCTCACAAATGGTGATCACATGATCCTGGGATGACACTGCAACTATTATAAACATATGCTGGTTGTCAAGTATCAAAATTTAAGTCAAGTGACTGCGGAGATGCTATGAGGACCAGTCACTTTTCCAGAAAAATTATGTTCCTTACCCTTGTGTTTTCTGCACATACTTTTTATATACAGTACAATAGATATGCCAGAGATGTGTGACCTTGTGATATGAATCCTGTTTTCTGTTTTGAATTATGGTGCAAGAAAAGCTTGTAAAAATCACTGAACAATGGAGAACAACCGATACAATGCTGAACTGATACTTTGTATTGTATTGATACAATGTGTCAGGCTCCAAGGTGCCTTAATTGTTGTTTATTATTTTAACTTGTGTTTGCCTTTACTGTTTATGCATACAATACACATACTCACTTCAACATTAATCATCCCATTTCAGGATGAAAATCTTTTAACTAAAAGTTACATTTCTGTTATCTATCATGCTGATCTAAAGGAGGTTAGTAGGCAGGTGTTTTTCAACTTCTTGGTCTAGTGCTGAGGAAGAATTGCTGGTTTACAAATCATCAGCCAGCTTCTGTGCCCAAGGGAGATTTATAACTCCTAATCCAGATTCTTAATCACTACAGCACTTGGTCATGTTTGTGTTGTGTGTGTATTTACTTAAGGTAGTCATAGTGCGATCCTCATAAA